CACATTCCAACCATCAAAATCACACTAGGGCACCACGTTTTTCTAACCCTAACCCTACCCTGGTGCACTCCCCTAACCCTAATATAGGGCGAAAGTTCCATTGAAAAGAGGCCAATCTTGAAAAAGCCTTCCTTGAGTAGCTTTTTCTGCATAGCTCATCATTTCCGCCCATTCTAAACACATTCCAACCATCAAAATCATATTGGAACACCTCATTTTTCTAAACCTAACCCAGTGATGGTGAACCTTTTAGAGACTGAGTACCCAAACTGCAACTCAAAACCCACTTATTTATCACCAAGTGCCAACAGTGCAGTAAAACCTGAAAACCGAGTTTTCAGTTTAGAAAAAGCAACTCACTGCCAGTCCAAGCAAATAGATATATATATCCTAGGCAGCTACTGTCCAGCCATGCGACAGCTTGGACGAGTTGCAGCTAATGAGTCGCGGCTCATGACAACATCGCCTGGCGCCGCTACTCCTTTCCGGGCATGCGCATGGCCCCTATGTGCGCTGTTATCCTATGCTCGACTGCTGGGGCGATGCTGGCATGACCTGGCTCTCATGCCGGCAGAGGGGGCTCTGCGTGCCCGCTGTGGCACGCGTGCCATAGGTTCGCCACCACTGGCCTAGAGCTAGGCCAGGTTGCTGCTTTTTGTCTTGCCAAGACCAAAACCAGCCATCTGGTTTTTCCACTGAGAAATTTAAGGCACAACCTCATGCAAGTTTAGACAGAAAAAAGTGTAAAACTCCCAGCATGCCCCCTGTGCCCTTTCCCACCAGGTCACCAGGCTGCTAGGGTCATGCTGGAAGCTGTAGGCCTTTTCTCTCTCTCTAAACTTGCACAGAATTTTGCTCTTAGTCATTCATTAGCCTTCCCTCTAAAAAAGCCTTCCGGGAAGCTTACAACTTCTGCACTATAAAAGGCAGCAATGAAGAGCTGCAAACAACCATCCTTAGAACATATTTCATAGAAGATATCTAAGCACCAGCAACAGAACTGCCAAAGAAGATTTCAGCTCAGTAAAATCAAACCTCATTCAATCTTTTGAAGCAAACACGACACACTTTGTTGGGCAACTAAACACAGTAAAAGACGACTGGCAATTCTTCCCTGGGGAGGGAGTTCTATAGCAAGGCTGCCGCCGCCGCCCCCGTCACTGGAAAAGCCTGCTCTGTCCTTGTGTGCTGGGAGTTGGACTCCGACTTCAAGGCACCAGGCATGGGAAGGCTTTCAAGGGGAAGCGTGTGGCAGAGAGGAGTGGCAGCTGCTGAATGCCACAACCACGGTCGGTGAGATTTGTCCCCCACATTTTGGCCCCAATTCAGGACCATTGGCTGGTGACGGGGTCCATGGGCCCCCCTGGATTACACCACCAGTTCTCTGTGGCCTGAGCCTTTCTCTGACCGAAATGGCGTGGCGCTTCTCCTCCCGCCTGGGCCCTTCCCACCAGGCTGAGCCCTGCCAACATGCCCTTTCTGCCCTGAGGAGTGAGACTGAGGGCTCGACGAGGGGGCTCGACCTCCAAGGCAGAGAGGACAGCTTAGGGGGCTGTGGATCTTTCAGGACTGGGCTGAGATCCAGCAGTAGGGAGAACAGGGAGACGAGAGAACCTAAACGGCCTGCCGCCTGCCTCTTCCAGCATCCGCTGGATGTTCAGCAGGGATCTGCCATGTCTCCCACGCAGCGATCTCAAACAGTGTCATGTAGTGGTTAGAGTAGCACTGCGGAGACCTGGTTCTAGTCCCTACTGTGCCAGGAAGCTCACTAGATAACTTTGGGCCAGTTGCTGATGTGCAGGCTAACATGCATCACAGGGTGGTTGTGAAGCCAAAAGGGAGAGGAGGAGGGAGAAGGGGTGGAGGAGGAAGAGGGTGTGGAGGAGGAGGAGGAGGAGGAGGAATGACTCCTTGGAGGAAAGGCAGGATTGAGACAGAATAGAACAAACATTTAAGAAGGGGGAAGCCACGAGGCAGCGGGCCTGAAAGGCTCTTGTAGGAGAAACTGATGTTGTTAGGGCAGGAACGGACTGAGCCTCGATCAATGTGGGGCACAGTGCTGTGGGGACAGAGCAAGGGGCCACAAGGGAGGGCTGGCCCCTTTCCAGGAAACTTGACAAGTCTGAAGGAAGGAAGAATCTAGGAATTCTGTGCCCTGGAGACATTCTGTTCCCTGGGATGCTTATCTATGGAGGCATATTGCTGAACAGCATTTGATCAGAGACCAACACTATGCCTGTGGGTACGAAGAAAAGCTCGCAGGGAAGAGTCAGCTGCAGGATCAGGGTCCAGAGGGAAGAGACCACCAATAGGCTGCTTAACCCCCAAGGAACAGAGGGGGCTGAGTGCCCAAAAGGCACCCCCAGTCATGTGTCCCAATGACTCATGCAGCAAGCTAGCTCAAATGACTGATGATGATGATGAGTCGATTACTACCATTAACAACAATGAAACGTTGCACAGCAGTACACCAAGGTCTGGCGGGGCTTCCTTTGACCTCCTTGCTGAGGGGACCAGATTTCCTCGAAGGCTTTAGTAACTGCCCGGCTTTGTCTCTCTCGGAGCTGGGGAAGGGCAGGGTGGGAGGTTCTGATTGCCAAGCAAAACAGAAATGGCTTCAGAGGTGCACAGTTCTGCCATTCCATCTTAACTCGGCTCTGGGACTACCAAAGTTTAATGTTGGATTGGTCTCACCCCTAACGGAGAAGCTGGAACACCCCTCATGGGGCTGAATGTGGCAATTGGACTGGAGACGCTCTCCCCAGAATGGTAACGTGGATCTGTTGCTTATCTACTGGGGATTTTGTTGAGTAGGATATTTAAGGGAAGCCTTTTTGCGGCCTGGAAAAAGAGAGAGGAGCCTGTCCTAACATCCTGCCTTGCCCATTCCTAACTCTGGTTGTTATTACTCCGAGGCCCTGCAATGTAACAAATGCCCTGTAGGGGGCAGCAAGACCATACAGTTTAATTTTTTGCACAAGATTTCCAGTGGCCACCCCCAAGATTTACAATCCTCTGTACTTTTAAGTGTGGGCACTTAGCATTTAGCCCATAAATGCAACTTGGACTCAGGCAACACTCAAGTTCTTCTCTTGCAAACGCAGAAGGCATTCTGACAACTCCAATTGTCTGCTGTGTTTCTTGAGAACCAGAGCAAAGGCTGCAGGAATAACAGGCCTGAGTCTGGGGATGGGGACAGGGGCTTCTGTTCCAAATACGCAAGATAGAAAGAAAAGCATGCAGAGGGCTCAATTAGAAGTACGCTCCACTCTTCAGGAGTCATTTCTAGCTCCCAGGTCCATCAACACCCCTGTGGCACACTTAGCCAGGCCTGCAAAATGCTAAAAAAATCCCTTATTTGAGCAATGCTGCCATGGCACTTTCCAAGGAACTCCCTGAAAGGGCACTGGAGAGAGGGAGTTCATCCACGTGCCCACCTCTTCCAGGCTCAGTCTCCCCTCCTTCCCAATCCTGAAGACAGAGTTGCTCTTCCTCCCCACTTACCTGGTACTATTTTCACCAACATGCACACACAGAGATATACAACTACTTGCACCGAGCTGCTTACCTGAAAGGCGGCTGTCCCAGAGGCCGAAGAGTTGCCCTGAGCACTGCCAGGAGACAGCGCAAAGCATGGGGAGGAAGAGGAGGAAGAGGAGGAGCTACTGAGATCTTCCTCAAAGCTGAACGATTCAGGAGCAGCCGGAGTTGCATCTGCAGATGGTGAGGGCGGCGGGGAGGAGAGAGAGAGGTTATTATGGCAGAGTGAGAAAGGGCAGTGCTTACTGCTTCCCATGGCCCTGCTCTTTGTGGTCGGTACTCCAGCGCAGCTCCTCCAGGGTCGTTCTGCTGTCACTGAGCAAAGGCTGCGCTCAAAAGTGCTTTTGTAACTCATCATATTCTCACTATGAAATTAGGCTGAGAGAGTGGGAGAAGGATTTGATGGAGGTTAGCAGAACAAGGACTTTGAACTCTGCTCTGCAAAAGTCCCATCCAACAAGCCGAGCTGACTCCTGACGGCTGCCTCATCGTTCTTACTTGAAAAATACTCTCACTGTCTTTCACAACAAGCTTCTGTTGTCAGTAGTCCTATTTTGCAGATGAAAAAGTAAAGCTGGAAGGCAGGCCCATGGCAGAGGTGCTTTTCATGCATTAATTCATTCTATTTTTACTCTGCCAGATAATGAACATTTTCAAACCCTTTTCTCCCAATCCAATTGTCTAGTCCCTATTTAAGCTTGCTCTGTCCTGCTGTGATACCTCTTGTCAAAGGATAACGCAGCCCACACAATTTCCAAAGGTCCCACTGAACTGGCACCCCAGGAGCTTCTCTTCTCAAGGCTATCAAACCACTGCGATTTTGGGTTCTGTGTTTCTACACAGAACCCAAACTGTGTTTGGGTTCTTGGGTTCTACACAGCCACTAGGTGGCACTGTGGTATAGAGAGATAATGCAATTACACAAATGGAAATAGCATTTTCTTTTCATAAACCACATTTTCCCTGCTCGCAAGTTTCCTGAAAACAGAAGTGAAAATGGAAGGTCATGACATTGTCTAAAGGACTCATAAACAACCAGGAACAGGAAAAGTTAAGTGCACAATAAATGCCCCTAGTAAAATAGCTCTTCATCGCACTGCTTGGCCCCCCATTCGCCCTTTCCATCCTGCAAGGCAGCCTTCCTCCTTCTGAAGTGCTCAAAGCAGCCTCCTAAGCAGTGATTACCTGTCACTGCTTTCTTGATGCCCGGATCCAAGGGGAGGATATTTTTCTTCACCAGCTCAAGTGGCCCAGGGCGGTGTAGGATCTTCTCGCTCAGGTCTTCGGCCAGGCGAGCCTTCTTGTCCTGCAGCTCAGAAGGGTCCCCTGGAGACACTGGAGTGGGGAGGAAGAGGATGGCTGGATGTTTATGGGATACAAAGAACAGCTTTGTGGGATCAGACTGGAGGTCTATCGAGTCACTGCAGGGGTGCTCCACTTCTTCCAGGACCCAAATTCCAGTGGTGGGCAGTGCCAAAAATGAGCAGAGTGGGGTCAAAGGCCAATGGAGACAGGGGCAACAATACCCACAGATTGTAACTTAAAGCTCTTGCTGCCAGGAACTGTGTCCTGGAAGAGGCATTTCAAGTTTTTGATATAAGGGGGAAAGCTGCACAAAATCTGGCAATTCCCAAAGTTTGGCAGGAGGGAAGGGGGCCAATGGGAGAAGGCCAAGTCAGACAGATCTGTGATCCCTCTGTTCCAGCGTCCTGCCTCAAGCAGCTGTCACCCAGATGTTATTGGAGGCTCGCAGATAGGCAAAGGTCCTTAATATAGAAACACAGAAACAGCGCGAGTCAGAAGGGGTCTCCCGGGCCATCTAGTCTGACCCCCGGCAGCAGCCGGCTCTGTTCACAACATATCTGGTAATTAGAAGTATACTGCCTCCAAATATGACAGTTTCATTTTAGGGGACAGAGCTATTGCTCATGAATTTGTGATCCTGTCAAAACCTTGTGGACATCAGCACATCTTTTAGCAAGAGCTCCAAATCCCACGGAAGTGAACAACAGGGAGAGAGGCTGAAGTGCTGATTAATGCCATTCAGCTGCACAGAAGTTTTCAGAAAAGAGCTTGTTTTGCAGAGTACAACTGCAAATTGAGCCAAGGTGAGCTCCCTGGTGCAGGCAGATGGGGAGGGGAGGGGGGAGCGAGATTAGGGACTCCTGGACCAAGCATTTCACCCGTGCTCATCACTGAGCTTGGCTCACTAGACTAGCAGTACATCTATTCCATTCATTTTCACTTTTGGTAGGAGAGGGACAGAGAAAAAGATCAGATTCTGCAGCTTCTTGGGGCATAAGGGTGGGGAAGCACCATCTGCACTTTGCTGGGGTTGTCTGGTGAAATTCATAAAATGTTTGGGGACAGAAGACTTACTGCCACCAAGGGAGTCGAGACTCTTTGTTCACATATCTTACTTTCCCCCACAAGGGATCTTCAGGCCATGGTGCCCTGCAATTTGCTCTGCACCACTGTGGTACACCGTTCTGAGAGCCTTTTGCTAATTGAATGGCTTATAAAAGCCTTAAATAAATAAACAAATTCTCCAGGGATGCGGAGTGGGGGGGAAGACACAGGAGACAGACACAGAGAAATTAAAAGAGCATCCTTCCTCCAAGGCACTTAGAGGCAAAGCTGCCCAGAAGACCACCAGAAATGTTGCTATCCCACAGTGGCAAAACAGTTTTAAATAGAAATATTAAAAAGAGCAACTTTTTTAGTATGAACATTTGTGAGACTAAGCACCTTGCAACAAGTTTTAGAGGTTTTACCAGCTCTCCTGAATACTGAGGGCTTCTCCTTTTTATCACCTCTTCCCTGAGAGTCTGCAAAAAACCTTCCGGGGCATTTGGTGCAGTACTAGATGCAGGGGACCAGTTCAGGACATCTGGGTTTGGGAGGAAGGAAATACAAATTCGAAGGCTACAGTGTAGATTAAAGGGCTAAAGGAAGAGGGTGAGATCTCTTAGTCTGGACTCCAGGGTTGCCTAAATGCTAAATGAAGTTCGGTTAAACAGGGCAACCTGATGATTAGGACTCCCAGATTTTAGATCAGTATGTTAGGCTTTGCCTCATCCTTCAGGCATGTGCTATAGGAAGATGGTGAAGGTGAACAAGACGCAGGCAGAATTTGCTCCTTACCCTCTGGGGGCTGACTCTTAGCAGGGCCAGTCTTGTGGGACCGGGGTGACACTTTCAGCTTTGCGATCTCATTGGCCTGTGAAGAAGCAGAGAAAGAGCATCATTACCGAGATGTCCACAAAGTCACTCCCTCTGGAGTCTCATAATATCATGAGCACGGCCAATGAGCCTATGCACTGATCTTCAGAAAGCTAAAAACCAAAACCATCCCGCATCTGCTTCTTCCCTACCCGTCCAGAGTGCCCCCACCAAAAAAAAAAAAAAAAAAAAAAAGCACACACCCCCCCACTCCACCAGAACAACCAGTCAGGACTCTGGGCAGCTGCAGTCTAGGTGGGCCTTTATCAGGTTTCCACAAGCAAAGGGGAGAGAACTTCACAGCCTGAAATGTGCCACTGGAAATGTTGTTAATGTATTACAGTCAGCAAGAGAGGCCTATTTAAACACTAAATCTATGTTCTGATCAGCCTAGCGGTGACTGAATTCAGGCAACTGATTGTATTTTGGCTTCGTAAGCTGAGCTACAAATGAGATTTCCAATGGCTCTTTGCAAGAGTGAGTGAACAAGCCAGCAAGTCTTCCATTAACAATTGTTTCCCTTGTCATCCAAACTGGAAAACTATAATTAGCCATGCCAGGATATTAAACCATAGTTTGAAGTTGGTTTAATGCGCTGCTTTGCTCTGAGACTGTTACCCAGAGTTTCCCTGTTGGGCAAGACAGGAAAGAGTAGCACAGCGGAGAGCCTAGGAATGCGACTCTGTTGCTTTTTTCTCGGTAGGCTGCTGATCTCATTTGCCAACCCACCTCTTAAGCTTCTCCGTTCTCTCTGATCTTAGCTGCAGTCCTCACGGTCGCTGCAGGAAATGAATTTTCCCAACTACAACACACTGCCCTTTGCCGTAAAGAAAAGTATTTTAGCGAGGACTGATTGCGAATGAAAATCAAGAGCCATTCACTTTACAAGAGACTTGATCCTGGAGAAGATGAAACTGGTTTGCCGATACGGATCAGCCCCATCATCTGCATGCTTGGATGCTCCTTGGGGAAGGCTAAGGCAGTGATCTTCAAAATGCACCACTGCGGGAAACAACAGTGGATGGAAAATGTGCTGGTTTGCTTGCTCCCGTGATGAAGGGAGAACTGCAGGACTCTATGCGAAGGGAAGGAGCGTAGTGGAGGGGCCCTTGGGAGGCTGGCGTGCCCCCACGTCTTTTGGAGGGGGCCCTCGGGGTGGGGGTGCGTGGCCGGCAGCTGCCACTGTGCTGGAGTTCTGAATTTAGTGGGTTAAAAACAGGAGTGTTTTTTGACAGTTCGTGGGAACTCCCTATCTGGAGAGGACTGCCTGGCTGGCACATATGTTTTCTGTGACACTTTCTCTCATGGTTGGCCTCTGCTTGTCACATTTTTAGATCACAAGTCTGGGGGCAGGAACTGCCTTATTAATTCCACATAAACCACTCTGGGGGCTTTTGGCTGGAGAGTGGGATAGGAATATAATTTTTAAATCATTCATAAGAAATAAGAAAATAAGAATTAACTTCTAGAAGCTGTCACTGTTTCACCTCAAATGGTGACACCCTCATCTTGCATGTATTACTGAACAGAAATTCAAGCAAAGGGGCAAAGCTCATTTTTACGGTATAATCATCAGGAGTATAATCTTGGAAATGGGGGTTGCTAGGGGTGTGGCTCTGACTATTATGAAGGGACCCCCCACGTCTAAATTTGCCACTACATGGCTGCTCACAGCTTTCTCACTGTATTAAGCCCAGACAGCCTGCAAGTCTAAAGCGCCTGCTAGCCGTCTAGCAACATGGGGCTTGCTGGTAGAGCACAGACTGAGTTAACTCCCTTGTACTCCCTGTTGCCGGGAGCATCAGCAGCCCAACAGAGAGAGAAAGAGGTGGGGGGCTTTCTCCACCGTAGACTTTGGAGGACCATGCTAGTCGAAGTGTCAGCACAGAAACCATGTTGCCTTCTCCTCCATGAGCTCCCCGCAGCCCATTCAGCACTATGGGATGGAGGGAGGGAGGTGGGGCCGGAGAATTTTATATGCATTTCTAGTGAGCCAAGAGTCAGAGAAGGCAGCTGGTGGAGAAGATGAAGCTCAGCCGAGAACCGTCTCCTGACAGCCAGCCGCTTGAACCCTTGTGCGCAACCTGTCTGACACAAAATGAGGACACTCCCCAAAAACTGAAGAGTGGAAAAATAAGTTGGCAGAATATGCAGTGATGGCAAAATTAACTAATCATGTAAATAGAAGACAGATGGAAGAATTTAATGACAAATGGAAATTATATTATACTCAGTACAACTAATAAGATATAAAAGGAAGCTCTTGAAAAAGTAGTTGATGATTTGTAATGGATTTGAGGCAATTGGAAAATTTGTCCGTATATAGAATAGTAACTCCCTTTTTTCCCTATTTCCATAGAGTACTGAATGATAGAATGATAGGTATTTTTGGTCTCTTTGAAATTTGTGGGCTTGAATGTATTGGCTAAACTTGTTTAAAATACCTTGGCAACTGTATCCTATTTCACTTTATTTTACTTTTATATATACACACACACACCTTTCTTCTTTCTGTATTCTATTTATATTAAGAACATAATACTAAAAAAAAGAAAATGAGGACAAGTCCAGCTCCCACTGTTTCTTACGTGAGATGGGAATCCCCAGGACTGATTTCTACTCACCCGCTTCTGGTCCTCTGTCCCGCTGGGCTGTGAGAAAGTTGCAAGGGGTTTGTTAAGCCCTGGAGGATCAGTAAAGACAGGTTAGCATGAGCACTGAGGAAATTTCCCATCTTCTGCTGATATGTCCTTTTCCTCTTTGGGGACATCTTAAAGATAACCCAGGACTTTCAGAGAAGGAACCAACTGGCATTTACAGAAAGAGGTGGCTTTTTGCCAAATCAAACAGAATTCTATTTCTCTGCAGGGATGGGGAAATTTTGGGCTAGCGTTTCGGCTAAGTCCTGCGTCAACCAGTGCCTTTCACATGTCCATGATTCTCTCTGTCCCCTGTGCCGTGAAACGAGAGGGTTCTTATCCAAGACTCTCCACACTGGGCATGTCCACGATGTCACTGCATGGGTGCCCATTGCTGAGTATCTGGCACAGATCTGCCACTTTGGAGTGCTCCGTTCAGCCCTTTTCTCCTTCAAATCTGACTCTCTACTCCGCATGATGATGGAAGAAGGGTTTAAAAAATACGTGACAAAAATCTCTGGAACAGGAGGTGGGTGAGTTGAGTAGAAATTGCTGGTGGGGAAGATATTTCAGTGACCTACAGAGATCCTTATTCCATCTGGATAAACACATAAGAAGAGCCCTGCTGCTGAATCAGACCAAAGCTCTTCCTAGATCTGCATCCTGGTGCCCACAGCAGCTCCCCAGATGTTTCCAGAAAATGGGCAAGCAGGGCATGAAGGCAAAAGCCCTCCACCTCTGTTGTCCCCAACTGCAGCAAATGGTATTCAGATACACTGCCTTTGACCATGGAGGTTCCATTTAGCCACCATCACTACTTGCCACTGCCACACCAAGCCTGCATTTGTTGTTGTTAGTCACGAAGTTGTGTCCGACCCATCGCGACCCCATGGATAACATTCCTCCAGGCCTTCCTGTCCTTCACCATCCCCCGGGATCCACTCAAGCTCTCACCAACTGCTTCAGTGACTCCATCTAGCCACCTCATCCTCTGCCGCCCCCTTCTTCTTTTGCCATCTATTGTTCACAGCATCAGGCTCTTCTCCAGGGAGTCCTTCCTTCTCATTAGGTGGCCAAGGTATTTGAGTTTCATCTTCAGGATCTGGCCTTCTAAAGAGCAGTCAGGGTTGATCTCCTCTAGGACTGACCGGTTTGATCACCTTGCGGTCCAAGGGACTCACAGTCTCCTCCAGCACCACAATTCAAAGGCCTCAGTCCTTTTGCACTCAGCCTTCCTTATGGTCCAGCTTTCATAGCCATACATTGCAACTGAGAAAACCATAGCCTTGACTATACGCACTTTTGTTGGCAGGGTGATGTCTCTGCTTTTTAGTATGCTATCTAGATTTGCCATAGCTTTCCTCCCCAGGAGCAAGCGTCTTTTAATTTCTTGGCTGCAGTCCCCGTCTGCGGTGATCTTGAAGCCCAGAAAATAAAATCTGTCACTACCTCCATTTCTTCCCCATCTATTTGCCAGGAAGTGAGAGGACCGGATGCCATGATCTTAGTTTTCTTAATGTTGAGTTTCAAGCCAACTTTTGCGCTCTCCTCCTTCACCCGCATCAAGAGGCTCTTTAGTTCCTCTTCACTTTCTGCCATGAGAGTGGTATCATCTGCATATCTGAGGTTGTTGATATTTCTCCCAGCAATCTTAATTCCAACTAGTGATTCATCCAGCCCCGCCTTTCTCATGATGTGCTCTGCATATAAGTTAAATAGGCAGGGCAACAGTATACAGCCTTGCCGAACTCCTTTCTCAATTTTGAACCAGTCAGGGGTCCGTGTCCAGTTCCCACTGTTGCTTCTTGACCCACATATAGGTTTCTCAAGAGACAAATAAGATGGTCTGGTACTCCCATCTCTTTAAGAACATGCCACAATTTGTTGTGATCCACACAATCAAAGGCTTTAGCATAGTCAATGAAGCAGATGTTTTTCTGGAACTCCCTAGCTTTCGCCATGTTCCAGCGTATGTTGGCAATTTGATCTCTAGTTCCTCTCCCTCTTCGAAATCCTGCCTGTACTTCTGATAGTTCTCGGTCCACATTCTGCTGGAGCCTAGCTTGTAGGATTTTGAGCATAACTTTACTAGCATGTGAAATGAGTGCAATGGTGCGGTAGTTTGAACATTCTTTGGCATTGCTCTTCTTTGGGATCGGAATGTAAACTGACCTTTTCCAATCCTGTGGCCACTGTTGAGTTTTCCAAATTTTCTGGCATATTGAGTGTAGCACTTTTACTGCATCGTCTTTTAGGATTTTGAATAGCTCAGCTGGAATACTGTCGCCTCCACTAGCTTTGTTGTTGCTCAGACTTCCTAAGGCCCATTTGACGTCACATTCCAGGATGTCTGGCTCGAGGTCAGTGACCACCCCATCGTGGTTATCAGGGATGTTAAGCTCTTTCTTGTATAGTTCTTCTGTGTAATCTTGCCACCTCTTCTTAATCTCTTCTGCCTCTGTTAGGTCCCTGCCATTTTGGTCCTTTATCATGCCCATCTTTGCATGAAATGTTCCCTTCATATCTCCAATTTTCTTGAAGAGATCTCTGGTCCTCCCTATTCTATTGTTTTCTTCTATTTCTTTGCACTGTTCATTTAAGAAGGCATTCTTATCTCTTCTAGCTATTCTCTGGAATTCTGCATTCAATTGTTTGCATCTTTCTCTTTCTCCCTTGCCTTTCGCTTCCCTTCTTTTCTCAGCTATTTGTAAAGCTTCCTCAGACAGCCATTTTGCTTTCTTGCATTTCTTTTTCTTTGGGATGGTTTTAGTTGCTGCCTCTTGTACAATGTTGCGAACCTCTGTTCATAGTACTTCAGGCTAACAGATCTAATTCCTTAAATCTATTTGTCACCTCTACTGTATATTCATCAGGGATATGATTTAGGTCATACCTGAGTGGCCTAGTGCTTTTCCCTACTTTCTTCAATTTAAGCCTAAATTTTGCAACAAGAAGCTCATGATCTGAGCCACAGTCAGCTCCTGGTCTATTTTTTACTGACTGTATAGAGCTTCTCCATCTTTGGCTGCAGAGAACATAGTCAATCTGATTTCTGTGTTGACCGTCTGGTGATGTCCATGTGTAGAGTCATCTCTGGAGTTGTTGGAAAAGAGTGTTTGCTATGACCATCATATTCTCTTGACAAAATTCTACCAGCCTGTGCCCTGCTTCATTTTGTTCTCCAAGGCCAAACTTGCCTGTTATTCTGGTTATCTTTTGGCTTCCTACTTTAGCATTCCAATCCCCCATGATGGTAAGGATATCATTTTTTGGAGTTAATTCTAGAAGGTGTTGTAGGCCTTCATAGAACTGGTCAACTTCAGTCTCTTCAGCACCAGTGGTTGGGGCATAGACTTGGACTATTGTGATGTTGAATGGTTTTCCTTGGATTCGAACTGTGATCATTCTGTCATTTTGGAGATTGTATCCCAGTACTGCTTTTCCTACTCTTTTATTGACTATGAAGGCTACTCCAGTTCTTCTGTGGGTTTCTTGCCCACAGTAGTATACCTGATGGTCATCTGAATTAAATCCACCCATTCCTGTCCATTTTAGTTCACTGATTCCTAAGATGTCGATGTTCAGTCTTGTCATCTCTTTTTTGACCACAACCAGCTTGCCTTGATTCATGGATCTTACATTCCAGGTTCCTATGGAATATAGATTTTTACAGCATCGGACTCCTTTCACCACCAGATACATCAGCAACTGAGTGTCCTTTCGGCTTTGACCCAGTTGCTTCACTCTTTCTGGTGCTACTAGTACTAGCCCTCTGCTCTTCCCCAGTAGCATATTGGACACTTTCTGACCTGAGGGGCTCATCTTCCGGCGTCATATCTTTTTGCCTTTTGGTACTGTCCATGGGGTTTTCATGGCAAAGATACTGGAGTGGGTTGCCATTTCCTTCTCCAGTGGATCACGTTTTGTCAGAGCTCTCTGCTATGAGCTGTCCGTCTTGGGTGACCCTGCACGGCATAGCTCATAGCTTCATTGAGCTACGCAAGCCCCTTCGCCATGATAAGGCAGTGATCCATGAAGGAGCCAAGCCTGCAGAGGATGGTCTAATCCCCTTTTTGAAGTCACTGTGAGCCAGTGACCATCACCACATTCTCCATCTGCCATTTCTCATGAGCTGATGATGCACCGCTTGAAGAAAACCTGGTCTTGCCTCTGTCCTGGTGACCCCGGAGCTCCAGTATTAGGGGAGCTGCAGCTGAAATCTCGGGAGTCTGTACCTGCTTAAGCCCTTGCCCCTCCAGTCCTGCAGGGCCCAGTCTCCAGCCCTGCTGTCTGGCATTCTTCAGCTGCCCTGAACTTGCATTGACAGAAGCAGGAAGAGGGGTGCACGATGCAGAAACTTGGCATGGAGATGCCCCTGGTATTCCCTCTGGCACCCCTGCTTCAAGCAATGCATGAGCAAAGGCTTCTGCCCAGGACCCTGGAGAGCCAGCACTGGCCCAGGAAACCCTGAGTAGGAACCACCAGGAGACCGGGGCAACTCTTCATGCTTGTAGACATGGCACATCAAAGCAACCTTTGCATTTGAACATGTACGAAGTAATCCCTTCTTCCCGACTCAGTGTCCTCCAGATGTGTTGGGAGTTGCGACCCAAGACATCTGGGAGTCATAGTCCACACATGCCTTGAGGAAGCCAGGTTTGCCTAGTTATTCCCCTCATCACGGTGTGATTGAAGTTTTGCATTTCACACAAATGTACTTGCAACCCCAGGCAGGACAGGCTTCAAGGGTCGGCATGGGCAGGCACCCGACAAGGGCCCACTACCAAGAGTGCCCTGCAACTGTTCTTCGTCACCCTGGCAGCCTGCTTGTTGACCTGCCTCTCGCTCTGGCCCAGGCAGTGGCGGCAGCAGCAGGGGAGCAGTTGACGCCCCAGGCTACTTGGTCACTGGCAAGCAAGCAGTCGCAAGGATGGGGAAGAGCAGGAGTAACCAGAGGGGGGAGCACTGGAGGGGGGAAGGCAGGCTTCCTGAGGGAGGGGCAGCGAGAGAGTCTCCAAACCGAGGAGCCGGTACGACACCCAGGCAGGGTTGCCACCGTTCTCCTTTCAAATCCCTGTCCACTTGCCACAGCCCGGCAATGGGATCAAATTCATTAGCTGTCTCTTCATGTGTCACTTTCTCTTCCTGACAAGGAAAAACTGTCACTGTAGATCTGGAGACCCTTTGCTATTGTCCATTGGCCATGAGGCTGGATGCTTTTCTCTGGGGTCCACCCCTCTTTGCCATGTGCTTCCCTGGACTTTTTGGAGACTCACCTGGGATCAGGTGGCGTTCGGAGAGCTGCTCTTGGGACCGCCGGTGTTGCATTCGCAGCTGCAGCACTGTGGAAAAGTTAATGAATAACAGGGAGTGCTTATTGGCATTGGCTGATTGCCATGAGAAAAAAAGGGAGGTGAACAACCAGGATAATAGAAGCAACTTACTAAAATAGATAGGGTAAAAGGGTTGATGTATAAACTGTTGACACAGCTTGTAATTACTTGGGTTTGGAAATACAAATTTGTCATGCTCATTAAAGGTAAATGCTAAATGGTTAATAAAAGGAAACTGATAATTAAGTTACTGAAACCATTGAAATCAGTCCTATCTGCAGTATATGGACTGATTCTGAACAAAATGGTCTAGATATGGAGCCTGGAGAAATAGCAGCTGCTTTCATAAGGGGTTCTTACGATGCTGCTGCTCTGCTCTTCACATTTGTGGCAGAGTTCAGAAAATTCCCGCTACCCATGACGTGGTCATGTCTCCTTACAGCTTCTGCTGTCCTTTTCCTTAATGCACAGAAGCTATTAACAACACAGAGCTGGAACAGCTGTATAAGCCCACCTCTGGAAGCATTCAGCGCAAAGAAAGTGAGAAAAACTGTCCTACAGAGAGCAAGCTATTCCGAGCGTCCCCGCCACATCCAGTCTTGCAGCGCTGCAAAACAAGAGAACACGACTTCTCCGAAACGATTCCCTGCCATTGTGGAACTGCTGTCCAACCAAATGACCTAGGAGCACAGATTCAACATCTGTCTGGAATGACAAATGCGCTGAGCTTTCACCAGCAACAATGTGATCTCAGCTAATGAAAAAGAGAGCTGGAGAAGAAAGTTGCACCAAATTTTATGGGACATGTTCTCTGGCTAATTAAATGAATTCAACCGTGAGCAGGGCCCCAAGGGTGAAGAAACTAGGAGTAACATCTGCTTTGGCCAACCAAAGTACTCATATGACTATATGGGGCACATGACAATGAACTGCCAAAGGAGAACAGGCGCTGACTCTTTATTCTTTTCGGTGTCAGGCAAAACCCTTTTTATTCTCCCACTATTTTAATGTTTAGTTGGTTTTAACTGGGGGTTTTTATCTTGACTTGCTGGATGCTGTGTTTGTTTTGTTCGTTTGTTTTGCTTCTTATTGTAAGCCATCCTGAGATGTAAGTGGCAGAGGGGATATAAAAGTTTTAAATAAATAAATACATACATACATACATAAAATAAAACAAACTTTACATTTCAGCAACGAATTCAGCAAAAAATCTATGGCATGGAGTACAAATTGGAAACAGTAGATAAACCAAAATTACCTGATGCATAAAGAGCTGTGGAAGAACATAAGCACAGAATTTTTGTGGTGGTGTCCATACACCAAATGCAGAAAGAGGCCAGTGCCTGGGCACAGTAGCTATGAGACAGGCTAGCTATGATAATCAGTATAAATGAGCTACCGTTGTGCTCCACTGGCAAGACAACAGGTGGACTTCCCATCTTACAGACTGGATTCCCAGGGATCAAGTGCATCCCTTTGGCAGACCTAAATTACGCTGAGCTGATCCAATGACGAAACCCTTCAGACCCCAAAGGAAAACTACACACTTGAGACAGAATGCAATGATGCCCTCTTGGCTAGCATTCGTGTAGGGAAGGACACAGAACGGTTGGATATAGCTAACACAGATGCCTCCCATTTTGGCAGCAACCAAAGCAAAGTGTGAAACCTCCTTGGTTAACTCTGCATCTTTGCCTCTCATTTAAGAATAGAATTTTGCTCATCCTTGGAAAACTCAAAGTTTCCACTGCTTAGCCTTTCCATCTAATCTAATGCCCAGAGAGCAAAGGCAAGCAAAAAGCAAGCAATAAGGCTAATCATCCATCATACCAGATCCACAAACACACATACAACATTCTATACACGCCTTCTAATAACAGCTTTCTAAAACAAGCAATTGTGGCAGTTGTTTGGAATCTTAATGCTGGATGTGGTAGTTATAATTACAAGAAACTGAGTTGCAGGGCACCCTTACCCACATTTATGACATCTGCACCACCCACTGGTTTGAGTCTCTCCTACCTGCTCTCTCACAGAGGAATCCTGGGAACTGTAGTTTCATAAGGATGCTGAACATTCTCAGTAAAAGGGTCCAGACATCACAAGGAAATAGAGCTGGGACTCTTCTTGCTGTCTTCCAGAATAACATCTCCTGCTTCAGGCTTACATTAATCCAACTTCTAATCCTTTCTCCATGCTTGTCATTCTTGGAGGAAACTGAAACGTCCCTAGCAGAATTCCCAAAACATTTACAAAATGACAGTTCCCATAATTCCCTTTGAAGGTGGGGAGCAGCTATGACAGTTGTGCTAATGTAGCTAGAGCTAAGCCACAGCTTTCCTCTGGTTCCTTCAATCTGATTATTGAATCTGGAAAGAATCTGGATCTTCAGTTCCACCAGACCTAGAATGGAGAGCTAATTGGCCTGATTTGTCCAGGTCCTCTTTTGCTTACCATGTTGCAAGCACAGCAGCACCGCTGGAAAGTTGGCCGAGTTAGCATGGGGGCCACAACTCAGCCTCACTGGACACTGAAACCGGTTTCGCTATCCAGCTTTCAGATCAAAAGCAATGCAAGGGCTCTTTATCTCTGCAGAGCAACCCAAATACATGCTTCACTGGAACAATGCTGGGAAGCAGAACCTTGTCCAAGGAAGAGTGCCAAATGGGGACAATTGTGTGGGTGACCCCCCCCCATCAAACAGCAGGCACATCATACCTCTGGAGGGTGGGACTGCTCCAAGCATTTCTATTCCTGTGCCCCCGTCTCTCCTGTCTGCCTGGGCATTTGTCCCGTTGTCAGCAGCAGCTGGGGTGACGCCACCAGCTATTTATTTAAAAGGCTGGAAATACAAGATGCCCCCAAACTCCCGGGCCAGAGACTGCAAGAACTGCTCAAGGGAGAACCCGCTGGATTTGCCACCCCCTGAGATGTCACAGAGGGGCAAAAGTCATATTTTCCCTCTCTGGGGAATTGCTGCTGTCAATCCCCGCTTTCTGATTGCAAGTACTTTTTTGCAATTAGTGCGATGTACTTGGGAGACACTTTTCATTGTGGGTTGCAGGGATCGAATAGCAAGCCACACAACCAGGGTGACAAAAATCCTTGCTATTTATCATGCTTTTGCCCCTCCACCAATGCCCAAGCAAAACTATGGAGCAATTACAACTGATTTGCCACTGCTTTACAAATTATTTCCTGCTCCCAGGAAATGGTACAACTCCTTCCCTCATTTTAAAAAGTGTAATATCTTTGGGGCAATTTTCTGCAAGTGCTTTCTTACAGCTGTTTGATACCAGCAATCTTTCCTGGTCAATTTTCTTGTCCATCCAAGGTAGAAATGGGCTAGGCAAGGCAATTGACAAGATGAGAGTGCATATAGGCTAATGGGATCACAGTCGCCCACATATAATTCATAAGTGGCCAATTGAAACACACCTTAAAGGAAAGTGTCACAAACAATGCACCAAAAGGGGGAAAGAACAATGTCTCCTCTTAGCAAGGCAATCCTCTCCAATTTACCGTATTTTTCGCTCTATAAGACGCACTTTTTCCCCCCTCAAAAGTAAGGGGAAATGTCTGTGCGTCTTATAGAGCGAATGTGTGTGTGCCTGACGCCCGGGATGCTGCCGGCTGCCTGCACCACGTGGCACCACCTGGCCGGCACGCATTTGGCACGCCCTGCTCCACCCGCCCCCCTCCAGCGCAGGTGAGAGCTGCGCCGCTCAGGGGGAGGCGTGCGGAGGAGGAGGAGCCGTGGCCTTTAACCCGTCGGCTGCACGGAGAGACGGACTGCTCATCGCCACCGCCCGGGAAGACCTGCCGCGGAGGAGGAAGAGCTGCGGGCTTTAACCCGCTGGCCACACAGAGAGACAGAGTGCTCACCCCCACCGCCCGGGAAGATCTGCCGCTGCCACGCCGCCCGGAAGACCACCACCGGCACGCTGCCGGCCCGGCTGCACCACGTGGCACCACCTGGCCGGCATGTGCTCGGCGCGCCCTGCTCTGCCCTCCCCTCTGGCGCAGGTGAGAGCTGTTAATCACAGGTAGGTGTGTGTTTTCAAATGGCAACCCGTCTTTTAATGAAGCCCATGGGGAAGTGATGGGGAATGTGCATGTGATTATCAGGAAGCTTTCCATGGATCCCTCCTCTAAAAACTAGGTGCGTCTTATGGTCCGGTGCGTCTTATAGAGCGAAAAATACGGTAAGTGTTGAATTGACAATTCAAAGTGCCTTCAAGCCCTTTGCCATTTCCCCAAGTCTGCTTTGCCCCTTTTGTGGTTCCTTTTTAGAGCTGTTACTGCAGGTACATAGATGTGACCACCATTTACTTCCCAGCCAATACTTTTGGGTGTATTTCCATGGAGTTTTCAGAACTGCAGTAACGGGACTCTAGCAACTGTGCACAAGTTAGTTTATATGTAGTCTCTGTCAATTTCCTTCTCTGTTGCCTATTCTCTTGCCCTAAAAAAACCTGAATGCAGGAAAATTGGCAATTTTCAGGGCCAACTCGCCCCCCCGCCCCATTTCCAGTTGTGCTTTCGTGAGCTCCCCCCCTCAAAAAAGCAGCAAGTAAAAATGGGATAGCAATCAACGTGGGAGCGGAGGAAGGCTGAGGTCTGCCACGAAGCACACTGGGATACAAGCTGGAGCCAGCTGGAGGGCTGAGGGGGAAGGAGGGGAAAAATAAACCACAGTAGGTCTAACGGTCTGTCTGGCATGCTGTAGGTTGTTCAGTGAACAACCAACCCACTGTGGCTTATTGCTTGGTGACGTGGCATGTGCAGACCCACCCTCTGTTTCTTGTGCCGTGACTGGCCAAGCACACAGGAAAATGGCAAACCACTCTGCAGAACCATTGCAGAAGACATACAGAGAAATCTTAAATTCATTCTATAAATAACTAAAGGAAGGAAGCCTCACAATTGGAAGGCAATCCTGAAATTTAGAGAATCACAAGAAACCCTTAAGAAACAGGGTAGTTTTCTCCCAATTATTCCAGGGTTGCCTGAGTTATCCCTGTTTACAAAAAAAGGCACATTTTGGGCCATTCAACAGGACTGAACTTTGCAGATGCTCAGAGGTGCATTTATTTTTGAAAATAACAACAGCAGGTCTCTACCATCATCCCTACCCCAGTTAAAGCACAAATGTATGTTGAAAAGGATTGTTCATACTTATCTGGACTGATCTTATCTCCTCACCACAATAAATTCAAGAACAACCACTTGCCCTGACTGTCTTATTTCTTTGTACGCAAATATAGGATTAAACAGGTACTTATCTGCATCATCAAAATAATAAAAATCAGGGCTGGCCTCCTTTTCAGCAGGCTGCAGAGGGGAGCTGTTTCTTTCCCGGCAATTTCCACTTTGTGTGTCATTAAAAATAATAAGCAGAGTGTGTGCCTGTGTGATGTCACGTTCACTTTTTGATTGAGGTATTAAAGTGCTTAAGTCTATCACTGTGCCTGCCAGCTGTGCAAGGAGTGGGGATGTATCAATAATATATCAGAATTAATTTTCTATACAATTTTACTCTGCATTAAGTTTGGTAGGACATCTACATTATGACTTGGGCCTTTAAAATCCCTGCTGTTGCAATCCTGAAGGCTTTAATTAATTCTTTAATTAAAAAGATATGTCTGGAGGGATGTCTACTTTCTATCCTCTAGAGCCTGCCCTTAAACCAGTCACATGTCTAGTGGGAGGTGAAAAAGCCACTCTGTACATGCCAAGAGATACTCCTGTCTTCCTGTGCTGGTATTGAAATCGTGGCCCAAATGTTGGAGAACAGGGTCTATGTTCCTATTTCACATAGCACAGAAAAAGTCTGTGTACAGTAACATCTGAGGTGCAGTAAAGTTTTCCCCTGCAGGGCAACATTGGCCTGCTAGGACAAAACAGGTGCCAGGGCTAAGGAGTCAACATTACATGATACCAAGAAGGAGACTAGGCAGGTCTAACCCTTAAGGAACAATCCAGTAGAAGAGACTCCTGTGAAGGTCAGGGAACCTGAGCCCCCCACCCCCTCAATACACACCTTTACCACTCTGTTTAGCCTGCTGCAAAGCTAGGAGACACCAGGAAAATAATTCAAAGGAAGGGAATATACGTCCTTTCCCCCCAGTTTTCTCCATTTGCTTCACTTTATGTAGCTATATTTAGTTCACTTTATCTCTTGCACTAAAATTCTCAGGAATATTTGAGGTATAATAATCTATAAAAGCACTTCAAAAGTTGCAGCATAAAGCATAAAAGCAGCAATCCACAAGTAAAACATAAAATAGATGGATCTGGCTTGCATACACAAATGAACTGGCATATTCTCGCTGGCTTGATATAGATTAAAAGAAAACAAGACAATATAATGCAGTTTGGTAATTTGGAGTTGTTCTCCTACACAGCTGAAGGCCCTTGCAGTGGCGAGAGGGAATTAATAGTAGTAGTAGTACCCCATCTATTTGTAGCGATTGGGATTCAAAACTGCTCACGACATTAAAATAAGTGCAATTAAAAATACTGTATGAGGACAATTAAAAGGATTAGTTGGAAGTGACAGCGGGCAGATTGGGATTCTGGTTACACCAGCCACCATTCCTATGTCCCAAATGCCAACAGCCAACCCACAAAAAACCGAGCCCCTGCAGAAAGCCGGAGAGGTTCCCGCGCGCAAAAGAAGCCGCGCTCCGCGCCTCGCTTACCAGAGCGGAACTTGCTTCGGATCAGCATGGAGCGCTCGGAGGCCAGGAGCGTCATCTTGGCGGTCCCTGCGGCGACAAGCCCTGATCTGCGGTCGGCCCCGAGGATCTGCAGCCGGGTGCTGGAAGCAAGGGTGGAATGCGCTTAAGTGGAGGAGGGAGACGGAGGCCAGGCTCCGATGCGGCCCCTTCTCGGAGGATCCAGCAGGCAGTTCGCTCCAGCAGCCCTTCCTTTCACGTGCCTGGCTGCCCCGCTCCGCTCGGAGCGGCCTCGGCCTGCGCGTTGGGTGACCCCGGGCCAGTTCTTTGCTCTGGCGCCCACCTGCTACTGTTGGCTGCCCTGGGAAATGTGGCCTGGGGGGAGACAAAGGATTGACCCATCAGCCACCTACCTCAACAGGGGAAAAAGTCGTGCGTTCCGAGGAAGAAGAGCACGATGGAAAAGGCGATAAGACATAGAGATCTACCTCACCGGGTTGTTGTGAGGGGTAAAAGTGGGGGGAGGAGCATGGAGGTCACCCTGAGTTACTTGCAGGAGGGGGCGGGGCAAAACAACAATTTACCCGCAACTGCGGGAAATGCTGCCGCGTTCGCTGGCTTCCCAATCGACGGAAGGGGAATGCTTCACCTGTGGAATTTCTGCACTGTTGCAAGGCACAGAAGTCCCTTGGAAGGGCTGCAGGGTCGGCCCCGCTCTTTCTTCGCATCGCTTGCCTGCACACACCCACTAAGCTACCTTTCCAGGGGCCACACCGCCCATCTGTGGGTGCCAGGCTGCACCGCGTCCTCCTCTGGGAGTACCCAAGAATCCAGCCAGTGCGCCCCTAAGACCTCAGGCCCGCTCAGGGAACCCAGGTGTCCGGGTGGGTGCCCCCCCGCGTTCTCGCCAAGCTGTCCCCGCGGCACGGACCCAGGCGTCCGGGCTGGCTCACCGGAATGGACGAGAGGGCGCCGTTCTCCTCTTGCTGCCGCCGCCGCCGCCGCCGCCGCTGCCGCTCGGATTGGGATTGGGGGACGCTAGAACCGTCCGCCCCCGACGGCGTCTCTGGGATGGTCTGCCAGCGGCCGCACCGGGGGAGGAGGGTGGGCGGCAGCGTCCTTTCCTCGCTGCCCAGGTGAGAACAGCAGCGGCGGGACGGCCAAGCGCGGGGAGGCGGCTGGGCCGAGGGCTCTGCCCCCCGCCTGGGGGTCCGACGCCACCGCGCCCCCCTCCGCGGCCCCGGGCAGCTGGGCTGTCCCTGCGCCTCCCGGGCCATGCCCCTCCCCGCGAGTGCCAGCTGCCGCGACACCCGACACCCGGAACGCGCTGCTGGCTCGGCAGGACAGTCCCCGCCGGCCCCCAATCCTCCTCGGCCGCGCCAAAGACGCCGTTGCCCCGCCTCCGTGGGCAGCCCTGGCTGGCTCCCCGGCGGACCTGCCCGCCTGAAGGGGGCTCTGCCTGGATACCCTCCAGCCCCGCTTGGCCACCCGTGAAAGTGGATCGCACGGCTTTCCCAGGGGACCGGGCTCTCCTGGCTGCAAGACCCCTTCTTATTCTGACCAGCCCCTCCTTCGCTCAAAGCCCAGAAGGCCGGCTTCCATCCTCCTTCCCGCAAGGAACCTGGGAGTCCTGCTCCCACGCCCTTCCCAACCTTGGCCCGCAGTGTCCCTGGGGTCGCCTGCTGGATCCCATCTTCTCGCAGCATTGCTTTCCTGAACCGGGACATGGCAGGGTCCAGCAGATGAGAAGGTGGCAGCCAAGGCTTTTGGCTGTTTTTTATTAAAATTCTATTCTGTCCTCTCTTAAGGGACTCAGGAAGGAGTCATGGCTCCAGTTTCCCCAGAACACGCTTCCAGACCCACCCAAAGAGAGCCAGGTGTCCCTTTCTCCACCATTTCTACCCCACAATCCTTTCCAAGAACCAAGGAGTTCTGACTTTCTTTGAAGGCCTTTTCTAAGCTGCTTGGAGCAAGGTTAGGTGTTGCCCACAATACATGCAAGGCCTGCTTTGTGAGATCCACAATTCTTTTGAGCAGGAATGTACAGGTAACCAAGGGGCTAATATGTTATTACAGCAAAACTCATTTAATATTTAATTGCATTATTTGTTACTGGAATTGAGGTGCTTCCAAATGGAGGACTCTCATTTGTACTGTTTGAAAAGCATTCTGCAATTCTGGTTTTTTCCTCTCCTTAAGCAGATCTAGTTAGTGTGGTAAGAAAAGAGATGAAAGAAGCGGTGGGAAAACACAAGTATGATGACATCTGGGTCCTGTGTAAAATTCCATGGATGAGGTTGGCTGATTGCACAATCAAAACCTTGCCAGGAGCAAGCCAAGAAATTTTCTGAATGTGTTAGTTAGTGCTCAAGGAACTGATTTTAGAAAGCCACTGGTTTTCTTTGGTCAACTTTCAGGCTGAAAGGGTTTGGAATGTATTACACGATGTAAACTGGACAACATGTTCCTCGTTATTGGATCATTCAACATAGAACCAAAAAGCAAATGTTACTGGTGTGTGATACACTTAACCGTTTACTGTTTGCATATTGCAAAATACAAACTACATAAAGGCGTTGGGCATTTGCCTCCCTGATCTGAAAAGCAGTCCTTGGAGAAATGTGCACGGTTTGTGAGTCTGGACTTGGTGCTGGGGTCAGGTGGGACTGGAGCGGAAAGTGGAGGGGGCACAGGGCCCACCCAAGGGATTTTGTGGCCCAGAGCAGGAAATGACCTCCACATGCAGAGTGCATATTATGCAAGGCCACTGAGGCAAAATGACCCGCCATCCTTTCCCTGCTCCCTGGCAGTAGAAATAAACCATTTATAAATAAAAAAAGGAGCATTTGCCACCTTTTCATGACCCCCTTCCCAAAGGCACTGTCCAGTTGGAATGGAAGGCTCTGAAACTTCTCTTTTCCTCTCCCCATCTGGTTACCAACGGAGGAACAGAGCGTTCTTGCCAGAGGTATGGAGCGATCACTTTCAGAGGGCCTTCCGTTACTCCCTCTATTTTTGCTCCTCACTCCCAGTTTTTCCTCTTTGCGTCACCTGCTTTTCCTCTAGGCTCCCCGCTGAACAAACTTAGGGTGGCAGCCACATGAAATTACACGATCGGCCACTTGTGGCTGTTGGTCCACACATGGCCAAACCCTGCTTTAGTTACTTGGATGGTGCTAAGAGGATGAATTGCTGGCACCCCCCCCCGCCCCATCCCATTGCAGTGAAGGGGCTAGAAGAGGCCTCCTTGCAAAAGGATGGCTTGGCTGTGGGCGACTGGGGCTCCCCGCTGTAGCAGGCGTGTGCTTCAGTGTGGAAAGTGGAAGAGGGAAGCAAACACGGGGAGGGGAGTAGAGGTAAATTGTTCAGGTATTCAGTGTGGCACAGGTAGGGGAAGAGGGGCTTGTGATGCAGAGGCAGAAAACCGCGACACAAAAGTGCCGCCTGCTTGTTGGGGCCAAGCCCATCGCTTGCAAACAGCTGGGCCTGCCTTTATGCGCACAGGGAAGCAGCAGTGTCCCCGCAGTTGGAAGCACTTTCTGCTGCAATGTCATCCGGATATTTTAGGGATGGCTGCATGAGCTGTCAGTAGCCAGTGAGGCACATGAACTCTCTGCGCACACTCAAAGGCAACCAGTCCTTCAAAGAGTGAACCCAGTGCCTTCGTGTCAACAGAAATGGAGCCACTGAGAGACAAGAAGGAGGTATTACTGTCTTTGAACAAATCCTCCAAAAAGAGGGGGCGAACACCCTCAAACCCTGCCCAAACAATGGTTACCAGAAGCCATGGAAAGTTGGCTGTCAGGTGGAAAAGACAAGCTTAGAAGTGAGCCAGCTGGAAGGGAAGAAACTGAATTGTGTTTCCTGAGACTGAAACGTTTATAATATCTTGAAAGAAGGCATTGAGGGCTGGAACTTTAAGGATATGCAGCAGCTTTCTCAGTCGGGCATAGGTTATACTCCAACTCCCTTAATTCTCCTGGACGGACTGACACATCTGGAGAGTACCAGGTGGAGAAGGCAGCCATATTGTGCCATGTTGTTGTGGGATCTACTTGTGTCTCTTTGTTTCTTCACAGGTAGCAGTCAGGAAAAGAAGACATGGGTTAGGGTCATTATGAGACAGGGAGAGAAGTGATCTGATGTGATTATTCCAGGTAGACTCAATGCAACCATTGTCCTTGTGTCTCTCTGTGCAGACTTCAGATCAAAGCAGGGGGCTGCCCCATGCCATACTTGCGAAGACCCAGAGTGAGCGAGGTAGGTGCTCACTGGGTCCCCTTTGCCCTTTCCCAGCGGCTGCTGTCGGGCCACAGGGAGTGTTTCTTCACACAACAGGTGTCACCTGTTGCCAGCCGTCCAGGCCCGCGCTGGATTTCACTGACGCGGCGGATCAGGTTCTGACCAGGGTATTTAAAGTCAGACACGCTCCCTGCCCTGCCCCCTGCTTTGGGCCCTGCCCCCGTGGCACCACCCTCGACCCACCTTCCCCTGGATCCCCACCAGCTTTCCGATGTCAGCAAAAGGTTGCATGTGTGGATGGGATGTGAGCCCAAACTTCTGTCGGTTTGTATGCGCTCGGCAGAGAAAGCGAGGCAGCCCGCTGCTGCGACTGGATGAGCAAGACTGCCCCCTCTTGGGCGTAGATGGAAACAACACATGCCCTTCACAGCAATGGAGCAGCACACATTTGCGTGAGGCAAAGTGGGAGAAACAGAATGACTGTGTAACACAAGAAGCTTGTGGATGTGAGGAAGGAAAGAGATAATTGTGTGTGACAGAAGGTCATATCTCATCATGCACTTCGTTCTCGCATCCGTGGATGCCCGAGTAAAAAATGCATGTTGATAGCAAGAGTGTGCTTACACGAAGTGCTGCTTTTCTCCTTAAAGCTGATGCTCACCGAATGCCTCCCTTTTCCCACTCACTGCCTGTGTGCATTGTCAAGAGAAAAGTGAGTGATTTACACAAGCAGGTGCCCCTTGAGCAGTGACGCAGTACGTTGGAATTTTGTCCTCTGGTTATCCATAACTTGACAGACACAAAACTCATGTGCATGCTGGGGACAATTGTGTGGCCAGTGAATGATGGGTGAGAAAGCTGGAGGTCTGGAGTGAGACTTGTCTCACAGCGCATGAAACACAGCTGGCCTTATTGGTGATAACTCATAGTCAGTGAGGTATGGAGTAGCAACGTGAGAAATCTAGTCTTCAATCTGCCATGAAGTTCACTGGGTGATTTCAGGAAGTCCCAGCCTAACCTACCTCACCAGGTTGTTGTGAGGATAAAAATGGAGTGGAGGAGAACTTTCACAAGAGGAAAAAGGTGGGATATAAATGCAGTATAATAACAGGAGTTCAGAAGAGTACACAGTTCTAATGTAGGAAGCCCCGGATTCAATCTTTTTTGGTTGTTCTACTTAAAAGAATCTTATGTCCCAGGGCCAGAAATATCTCTGGCTGAAGACACTGGGCACCAGCTAATATGCAGAGTTCACTGGCTTTCAGGCGCCTTTGCCTTGAATCAAAGCAGGCATTCTTCTTCCATGTGAGAGGGGAGTTTGTGCAGCATACGTGATGCAGAATGAGCAGATTGTCTCTGCACGAGGATGTGTCTGACATTCTGAGGACTGTGCGACGTCCCCATTTCTCCGGGGATTGGGGGAATATGCGGAGTGGGGCCCGTGGCCACATTTGGCAGGGGGATGGTGTGGGATCAGGGTCTCATGAGCCTGAGCTAAAACTCCCACTTGTGTAGGCTGAATGAACTCTGCTCTTTTGCTTGCCCTTGTGCCCCCGCCACCCCCGGAGAGGTCTCAGGTGAATGGTTCTGGATTTTCACACCTTGGCTGCAATATCCTTCGTCTCTTCCAAAACCAGGCTCTTCGTATGGTTCCTTTTGCTGGGAGTGCCACAGTGTGTGTGTGTGTGTGTGTGTGTAAGGGGATGGGATGAGCTCATAGGTCTTTCCCAGGCTCAGATTTCAGAAATTAATTCCAGAAGCAGCCGTAGGCCTGACACTGTGGACAAAGATAGCACTTGTGGTCTGGGACAATGGAAAAGAGGCACGTCCCAGAGACAGCTAGGCCTGTATTGAAGACACCAAAGAACCCCACGCCCTGGCTTCCAACCTCTGTATATCTGACACACACACTTTTTCTCACATGCACTCACACTTAAAAGGAGATCGATATATCCTACTGAGGATGCTGCAGCCAGAATTCTTGTTCTTGCCCCTCCCCAACCACTTCCTACAGCCCCACCTTCTGCCCTTGGGAGGGTGTCCATACAGGAAATTCCACCTCACATCAACATACTTGTCTAGTTTTCTTTGTCACAATTAATAATTTTATTACGGAGGAGGAATACATAGTTGGCTAGAAACAGTTACGATCTAAGGCCAAACGGAACTGCAGTGTTTCGAGATGGGAAGAATTTATGATTTCTCTCAAATTTCCAACTTGGTTCTTGAGAAGACCAGTGCCTGGCACCAGAGAGCATGGGTACAAAGAGGCAACAGCAGCCAAGGGGCCTTGGACGGAATGCTGGGTCTTTTGTGGCCTTGGATGGAATGATGGGTCTTTGACCTTTCAGGACAATCCTGGATTCTGCCTTTTCCAAAGATCGCCACCCTCCACTGAGGGTTGTTCTTACAGGAGCTTCCTGAGGACTGTGATTCTTCTTCAACACCAGCATGTACCCCACTTCTCACTGGCTGGGATCCAGCCCATATGCTGCCCTCTGGTTGGCTGGGAGAGACTCACGCTCCAGCTCCCAGAGGAAGCGGCGCAGGCGGACCAGTTGGCGGTGGAGGGAGTCATCTGACACAGGCTCCGAGAGACGCAAGCAGAACCCATCACATGGCAGAATCAGGGGTGGGTGCTCGGTGAAACTCTCAAATATGTCACCTGGAACAGAATTAGACATTTTTTTAAAAAGAGGCTCTGACATACAAGCCATTCTCGAGACGGTGCCCAGAGTCTGTCTTGAATATTTCTGTACCCAGGCGAGTTTTTTTTTTTTTTTAAACCTGAAGTCTAATTTCTCAATTTTTTAAACAAAACACTGGAATTTCTCAGCTTGTATTCCACACTTTTCCCCAGTGCTAAAGGAAGCACAAGATATCAAATATGTTCATGTCCTATTTCACATGTCTTGGGGCAGAGCAGGGGCATCTCTCAGTTATTTTGCACCCTGTCCTTCTAAACTTAATTGCCATGCAGAAGATGATGGGAAGGAGAGTGTTGCACCAGGTAGAAAGGAGAGAGTTAAATCTTCCTTACTGCACTCTCCCTAGAAAGTGCCCTCTGCATGACAATTAAGCTGAGGAGAAATATGCCCTGGTACCAAAGGAAATGCAGGGCTCAGTGGAATAGGTCTGGGGCTCTGGGATATTCATTCCAGGCTTGTGCCCCAGGGGCCACATCTAACAATGCTTTACAAACCCAGAGGGAAATACAGGTCAGCACAGGATGAGTAGCTACCTAGCTACCATGCACGTATGCAGTGATGAAAAGAGAAAGCGTTGCTTGGTGAATTTCTGCCTGCCAAGTGGCTATAGCTTCCATACAGCTGGAAGTGCCTGATCTTCTGGTGCACCGCCCAGAAAGCTTCAGCTGCAGGTGGTACAGAAATGCAGTATAGTTATAAATATTGGGCAGAGATGTCAGACGGTGATTAGCAGTCAAGTGACAGCAAAGGAGTCTCTCCACTTACTGTGTGCAATCTCGTCTCTTTCCTTTTCCGACGGGTCCCAGCACTCGGGGGGGACACGGCCTGGTCCCAGCTGGTAATTCCTGAGCACGTGCTGCAGCTGGGCTGGTGACAGGGCAGGATAGTCATCTCTCAGGCGGGACCAGGGTGTCTGTGTGCGGGCAGAACAAACCAGAAGAGTGCTTAGCAAGAGCTGCTGGCAGGCAAGCCCCCCTGATCACAACATACATGATGGACATCGCTAACCAGCTACTCTTCCAAATGTTTGTCAAAGGGCTCGAAACTAGGATCATCACCCACTTTTTAAAAAGCATTGCTGACGGCTCCTATGATGCTATTTGATTAGCTAATTTTTAAAATGTGAAATTCCTTTGGAATAAAACAATCGTTTCGAAAGAAAGGGGTATGCTTCTTTGCTGATGGTAACAGGCAGCAACTGTAAAGGAAAAAACTGGGTGACTTTGGGCCATTCATACATTCTCAGCCCAACCTGCCTCACAAGGTTGCTGTTGGGAGCATAAGAACATCAGCAAAGCCACACTGGGTCAGACCGAAGGTCCATCCAGTCCAGCATTCCATATGCACAGTGGCAAACCAGCTGCCCACAGGGTCGTTCAAGCGGGATGGGCGCAAAGCCCCCACCTGCCCAAGCTCCTCCGCAACTGGTGGATGTGGGCATGGGGGGGGGGATTATGGAAGCAGCAAATAAATGTGTTCCTTGATCAATCAGGTGTATTTTCTTTGCTCATCAAGAGGTTTTTCTGAACTGATCCAACTGATCAATCAATCAATCTGAGCCAAAATGGGCAAGAAGGGCACCTAACTCATACCCTCCTGGCCGCAGGGCCCAACCTCTCACTTACTAGGCATTTCCCCAGCCAAATCAACTTAAACTCAGACATGATATATCACAAGCAGATGCAGTGGAGGAATTAAATCAATTAAGATGGATCATAGAAACAAACTGTAGCCTGCTATTTGCATGAATTTAGAATGTTTGCACGACTTTTGTATCTTTGTATGAATTTACTTTGCTTCTTGCAGAGATGGAGAAGGACAAAGAGCTATGCTGGTACATACACACACACAAAGATACATGGCTACACATATCCAATCTCTGAAATTTTATCATTGTGCATACTGTTTTGAGTTTGTCTTCACTACCATTAAAAGGAAAGCTGAGATTTTCCGAGCTCAGCAGCAAAATTGGTGCTTAATGAATCACAAGAACACACAGCTGTCTCCATTAAGGCACAGGAGAGGGTAAAAATGTTATGAATGTGGTATTCTCTCGTAGGTTCTCTTCCAAAGGAAACAAACGTTTTAAAGACAGCCCTGAGCTGCGCACTTTGAGAGGAAGGGCGGAGTGAACGATGCTCCCCTCCTCTGTCCTTTCCGCCAGCTGTCTCCAGATCAAAGCTGACATTTTTTTATGTGGAAAACTTTCCCTTGAGCTGCTGCCTCTCTCCTGAAGCCCAGCAAGGGAGAAAGAAAGGCCTGATGGTTCACCTGCAGCAAACTGCTTTTCGGCAAGCAGAGCAGGTTGGCTGTGGTGCTGAGCTTGCGGAAGAATTCGGTGGCGATGTCCCCGAGGCCCACCCCCTGTAGCCAGTCCAACACCAGGTCCAGGTTCGTTCGGATCTGCACTGCCTTGGCCCATTGGAACAGGGACTGAGACCCACCTGGGGAAAATGGAGGAAAGGGGCTTGAGAATTATGTCTGGCCAAGAACTCTTGAGTGCAACCTTCCCTACAAATCACTCAGGCTTGACACCACCCACTCTGCAAATGCTGAAGGAGGCAGCTGCCCCACAGGCCGGCCGGCTGATTTCCTGTCCTGCTTGGGGGCAGCCCTGAACTCTGGGACAGGCAGGAAACAGCCGGCTTCCACCAGACACCAGAAGAGAAAATAGGAGGAAACCAGAGAGGGAGGGCTGAGAGGGGGCTGATTCTTTTCCCTGCTTAGCAGAAAAGCACAGAACTTGAGAGGGTTCTAGTTCTCCCCATGCCCTATTTTGTGCACCCAGCCAAAAGAGGCTCTTGCTTCTGGTAGTGTCTATGAATGCCTCCTCCCCTGCTTTTTATTCTGCATTATCAAAATGCATCTCATAAATGACACCCTGCATCCCAAGAAGTCCCTGGGGGCCAAATTGCAGTGGTGGACAAGGGTGAAGGCAAAACAGGGTAGGAATGCAAGGCAGGACTAAAATACTTCCATTTCTAGGACAGTTCAGGCTGACATTCTTAATCACAGTAACTAAGCCTTAGGAGAGGCATTTTAATCTTTTAGAATGGGGGGGGGTGTGAAGGGGGGATATGGAAAAGCTGAGAAACCATCAAATGACCACAGGTTGGAGAAAACAAATTGGGGCCAAGGGAAGGGGCATAGCCATCTGGAAAGCATGGAAGGAAAGATTTGGGCCTGGCAGAAAAAGTGACAAAGAGTTCAGGCCTATGCATGTTCAGATATTAAAAATTCCTACCTCTCCCAGCACTCCCCAGACAGCCATGCAATTTCTGCAGGCAATTCTCAGAATTTTTAACCTCTAAAGAAAGTGCACGTATATCACACAGAACTGAAACACCTTGGGCTACTTCAAATAATAAAACTATAAAACCCTGAAACTTGGAATCTTTTTTCTGCTGAGTTATTTGGATGTTCTCCAGTTTTGACCATGGGGCTCTAGCACATCAAATCCTCACAACTCCTTTTTCATTATAGCTAGACTCTTTTCCCCACCCACTTCCCCACCACCTCGCCAAAGCCCTCATCTTTTCCTTCTGGTTTCCATAAATCCTTTGCCCCTTCAGAAGCCCGAAGATCACTTGTTGAACAAGTGCTTCTATTTTGCTGCCCCCTTCTGTCTGAAAGTTACACCATCTCCAAAACAGGGCTGACCCAGCCCAACCATTAGGCAGAAAGGGGCAGCTGCCATGGGTGGCAGGTGCACTGGGAGACAGTGGCAAAGGCCTCCAGGCTCTGCCTCATGATCTCTCCAGCTGTTCCCAACTGTGGAAGGACAGAGCTGTGAACACAACACAGCCTGTCTCAGGCCCTCTAAACGAGCCTTCCGCTTCAGAAGAGATGCCACATCTCTTTCAAAAACTACTTTTCATGTGAAGACTTATTTCTGACACCCAACTGCATAACAGCAGTCCTTCCCCTATTTAGCCTTCTCTCTATAGCCCTTGGAGTGGCCATATCTCCTCTTTTATGGAAGACCATCCTCTGCTTGAAGGGCTGCTCTGTCCGGTTCCAGTTTAAAGTGAAAGAACCTTCAGAATGGTTGTTCATCCACAGTTTGCATCACTATTTCAGTTATAGTAATTATTTCTACATTTGTGTTCATAAATACAGAATAGCTTATTTAAAACTTATGCAAAATGGTGTCCTCTTCCTCAGCGGTAAGTGGCCATCCTCCCCTTCCTCTGGTGCTTCACCTATGGCCATTGGTCATACTGGCTGGGCTTAGTCCAGTTCCTCTGGCACGGTTGCACAACGCTGCTCCCAGGGCTGGCCCAAGACCAAGATGGCTTCCCTGCTCTCATTCCATGCAGAGGAGCCAGCCACCCTCGCAGTTCAATCTGACATACACGGTTGGTGGTGGGATGGTGCCCACTCCTCATCTGAGGGCAGCAGGCTAGTTCAGGATGCTCAGGCCAGGCCACACAACACATAACTTTGTCCCCTCGCCTCAATTTCCCCCTACTTCCATCCCAAGAAGCCAGAGGATTATTCTATGCCTACCTCTTTCCATGAGGGTGTTAAAGAGTGAAGCATTGGAGAAGAAGAAAAGGTATCCAAAGGTCTGTGAAACAAGGTCAGGATGTAGGCCACAGTCGCGGGTGAGCTCCAGCGTCGCCTGGTAGATGGCAAGGGTCCCACGGATTCCCTCGGGCATACGACTGAGCTCTGGCACATGGGAGAGGTCAGCTGTGGCTGTGAATGGGTTACTGTCGAGCAAGGCGGGAAGGGCCGAGTAGAGAGTCTGCCAGGAAAGGAAGGATTAGAAATGCAAAGGGAAGGGCAGTGGGTGGGAAGGGAGGAAGAGCTGGACCAGGCTGTGGCTTCAGGAAATGTTCACTCACCTTGGTGAGGTAGTATACAGACTGCTGGAACGTGGACATGATAACTTCATCCAAGACAACCATGGCCTCATCACACGTCTCCAGGTCACTGGAGAGCAATGGACTGTGGGAAACTCCTGAAGGGGATGGAAGTGAAAGTCTGAAGGCATAACTTCTCTACAGACCACCTAACTAGTTGCACAATCATTTGCTCTCCCAGAGGAACCCTGGGAGCTGTAGGTCAGAGCATCTCTTTTGGAACATTCTCAGAATTATCTTCAAGCGACAATTCCCAGATTCCTTAAGGAGTAACTTAGCAACAGGATACAGCAGGGGTGAGCAAAAAGTACTTTTTTCAGTAGTCTGAGCTTCAGTTCCCAACATTCCTGACCTTTGGCCATGCTGGAAGAGGCTTCTGGGAGCTGAAGTCCTAAACACTGGGAGGTCTACCTTCTGTCCAACTCCTGGTATAAAGCAGTCAGATGTGTGGGACTGCAACTCCCAACAGCCACACTGACTTGGAATGGTGATAGTTGCAGTCCAACACGTCTAGAGAGCACCAGGTCAGGGAAGCCTGGTACAAAGCCCCATAATATGCCTGTTGTATATAAGCCATAAGCTTCCTTGTTCCCTTGGCCTTTCCAAAGAACTCAGGAGTCCTGGACCCTCACCACCCAGCTCCTTAACACTAGTGAGCCTCCAGAACCTATCTCAGAAAAGCAAGGGGTCCTGTCTTCTTGGCTATCTATTCTGGTCTCTTCTTAGGAAAACCTCCTTTGGCCCCTACAGACTAAAAGATGTTGGCCTCACCCTCCAAGTCCAGGTCTTTTTCAATGTCCAGAACTCTCTTCTGCACCAGGTTGAGCAGCTCCATTGAGTTGGCCATCCAGAGCATAAGGGGGCGCAAGTCAGCGGCCACTTCCTCCACGCCAAGATTTCCTGATTCGCCTTTGTCTTGCTGGCTGCAAAGGTTAGCAGATAGAGCTGGGGCGATCAGTGCTGAGTGAAGCGGGGGCTCTCACCTGCCACCAAGAAGCAGCTGATTCCTGGCTGGGGTGTTCAAACAACAGCTGGCCTGGATAGTTTGAATTCGAGCCATTCCACTGTTTTTCAGGGTTCACGTGGAGTTCATAGCTTTTCTTGAAGTTTGTGAACTTTGCTTCCAAAGGACATAGGAGTATGGTTTCCTCTGCTTAGTTCCTTTTTCACTTACAGTTTGCCTTCCACGATTGCAATTTTGCTAGTACCAAGCTTTAAGGATGTTCTAATGTATAATTTGGCAAACAATGACTTTGCCTCAGGATATTTTTATGGGCCTTTCTGGACAATTGAATTACAATGTCGCCAATGTGCAGTTGTTATGTTACCCATTTTTGCAGCCAGCCCCAACAACCATCCCACAAAACAGAATTTCTGCTGCAGAGAAGCTGTGTTCACTCTTGAGCTACATCTGAACCGCAGGCCAATTATCTCCCAGTGGTTGTGTTTCCCCCTCTCAAGCCTGCAACATACACGTGCCCCAATCTTCTCCAACCTGGTGCCCTCCAGTTGTGCTGGACTGCAACACCCATCATTCTCAGCCAGCACGGCAACTGTGTGTTTCACCTCCTGCTCCTCTCTACTCAGATCTTTCTGCGTGAGGATTTCTTCCCCCTGAAATCAAATGCTCTCCTCTCCCCATCAATACATCTGCTTTTACAAATCAGGGTGACCATGGGAGACCAGGTGCTTTAAAAACACACATACTAACTAGAGCATATATAAACTAGCATATGCAAAACTGTGCTTTGTTTGTTTGTTTGTTCTGTGGTCCTGAGCCTCCAACCATTTTGGTACCTAGCACCACTGCTGGTAGCCTACAGCCATCAATTACACCTGGTAACCATGAACAGTCTAGCATGAATTGGTATAACCCCCTTCGAAAGCCCTTTCGGCTAGTGGTCCTCACATCTTGCTACAGCTCATTCCCGTGACTATGTGCTCCAAGAAGATGTTCCCTAGAAATGGCAGAGGACATACATTTATTTGCCTGAAGGCAGTAATCTCCCCTAACCCTTATTTCACAGGTGGAGGAAGGGACGCACTTTATAATGCACCTTTTATACCAGCCTTCCCCAAACCGATGTCTTCCAGATGCATCAGGCTGCAGCTCTGTGTTGTGGAAGGCAGTTTTGTGCCAAGGATTGTTACCAAATGCTACCCACTCATTATTACAGAAGTTGATTAAGAACATTAAGGAGAGTACTACCAGATCAGACCAACGCCTGTGGAGTCTGGCACCCTGTCTTCCAAAGTAGCGCTCCTGATGCCTCTGGAAAGCCCATGTGCCGGCCACGAGGGCAATCAATACTCGCACTCCCCAGCCAGAGGCATGCGGCCCCAGACAGATATGGATCAACCAGTGATGCTGGGGCAGCAGGACTGGCACTGCCATGTGGCAGAAGCTGGGAGGCGACAGCAAGGTGTCACAGGGTGACTGTGGACTGCCCTGTACCTTCTGGGCTGGCTTGCAGACTTCAGGTGTAGTGGGGGAGGCTGCCCCATTGCCAGCGTTGAAGAAAGATTCAACTGCCAGTCCGGCCGGCTTTCATGCCCGGAAGGGGAAAGGGTGCCATCTTGTCCTTTGCTTCAGACAGCAGCATGCCTTGGGCAGGCCCTGAACAAGCACCACCCCAAGACACACTGATTTGCAGAGCACCACCCACTAGCAGACAAGTACAAAACAAACTTCGGCTCTTACTCACTTTTCTGGCTGCCGATCCCCAATTTCTTTTATTTTCTCCTAGAAGGAAGGATGTGAAGAAAATAAAATTAATTATGGTGGACATTTCTACCTTATTTCAAAGAGCTCACATAGGAAGCTTCTTTCGTATGCAGATACTGGTTGGGTCTGAATCTGCTTAACTGTGGAGGTGGAACTAGTTCAGTTGCCATTGGAAAGGGATAAAGACTAGAATTTTGCTTCTTAAAAAAACCTTAGTCATGATATTTTTAAGTCACCCTACAGTAAAACAATAATGGTGCTGCACAAGAAAATAATTTTAGAAATCAGTATAAACAAGGCATGGATTGGAATGCATTGAGGTTAAGCATATAGCTGTATACATTTTTCTATACACATATATGTAGTTGTGTATTATAGAAACCCAAACTGTATTTTCAGAATAATGAGTACAAATTAAGTAAATTTCTGTTCAGGTTTTTTAAAGACGGTAGGTAAGAGAGAGCAAGCAAGGAGGCAGAAAAGCATGGAGAAGTTTCCAAGTCTTATCCACTACCAGAAGGACTAACATCTTGCTACTGCTGCAGCTTCTTTTTTTAATAAAAGCAAAGGTACCGGGTTTCATTCCATGGTTGACTATCAAATCTATATTGCAGACATACAGGAAGACCCAAAAAGTAGCACCAAAAGGGAATGGGAGTTGTTCTAAAGGAAAGATATAAAACCTCCTGTCTGGCAGACCAGATCTAGGCTGTCAGAAATCCCAGACCATCCTTCTAGAATTCCACACCTCCTTCCTCTCCCTCCATCTCTTCCCTGCCCCACGATCATTTGATGGTTTCATGGCTCTTGTGCATTTTTCCCATTCGAAAAGGTTGAAATGTTTCTCCTAAGCCTTAGTTGCTGGCATTAAAAGTGTTAAGTTAGAATAGGCTGCCCTGGATGGGGTAGGTAAATCTGCTGTCCCAGACTGCAGCCCCTAAGAGCTTCCCTGAAACTAAATCTGGCCCCGGGCTCAAAGAGGTTCAACGCTGCAGTCCTAAGAGAAGTGAAGGGCCCCAGCGTGGGGTGAAAACACACAAGCCGAGCTGTATGACAATCATTACCCAAACAGCCTCCTTGACCAGCTGAGCGATCCTGGCTATCAACCTGGGCAGTTGTCCTGGCTCCAGTTCCCGGGCTGCGTGCTCCAGACAGAGGCCAAAGAGGAAGGCTGGGCCTAGCCTGCACCCAGGCACTTCCTGCAGCCTTATAATTTCGGCCAGGAGTGCCTCCTGCTCCTGGGGCCGGTAGCGCAGCTGGGGCTCTCGGCTCTTGAGGTAGGCCCGGAACGCCTCCTGCCGCTCCTGCAGGGACCGGCCGCATGCCTGGCACGCCAAGGCCCCCACCAATCCTGGGGACACCCATGCCTTGGGCAGCCAGGCTGGTGGGGCAGCTGCAGATCGCGGGTCCTTGTACATGAAGAGGAAGTGCTGCCCCATCCCCAGCAAGTCTCCGGGCGCCAGCTCCACCTGGCGATGCAGAGGAGCGCCGTTGTGGGTGATGGCTGCTCCCCGGAAAGGCCGCACCATGGCGGAGCCCCGCGGCTGGCTGGGATCAGCGGGGGGCACTGAAGACACGACGCAGCAGTGGCGCGGCAGGATGTCTGGGGCACTCAGGAACGTGTCCACGTAGTTGGATTGGTCTGGGGCCGGGCGGCGTTCTGGGCGTCCGAAAATGTGCCGACGTCGGGTCATGACATGGATCACAAACTCCTGTGGAGAGCGGGGAGAGGGGAGCGATGCAGTGAGTAACGGCAGATGTCCCTGAGCCCTACAATGAGCGGCGACAAGGTGTGGGGAGCCTGCAACCACTCCCGCATCAGCAGGCACAGATGCGGTGGCACGGCAACTCTGACGCTCCCTGAGACCTGTCCGTTTTCTCAGGCCTGGGAGGGGAATGGCAACAGCCAGCTGGCCATTGCAGGAAAAATGGTGGTCACTAACAAGGCTGGCCCAAGGCATTTTGCTGCCAACAGAGTAAGACAAATCGACAGCCACGCAGTGTTATCATGCGAATGATGCAGAGCCCCCTGTGGGTGGACCACCCTGGCCTTCTGGGTGGAAAGGTGGCCCTACCTGTTTTTCATTGTAGCCCAACAGCTGTAGGAAATACGGGTGCTCCGTCGGCGGCTGTATGAGACACTGCGTGAGCTGCTCCAAGTTAGCCCCATCCACGGCCGCATCTTCAGAGGCTGGCGAGGCTGACATGCCCTCGGCCTCCTCTCCTGCCTTGAGTCGTGGCTCCTCAGCTGAGCCCCCTTCTGCTGGCTCCCCCACCGCCATGCTGAGCACACCTTTGCGTTCCCTGCGGCGTTTCATGCTGAGATTCATGTCACTGATGCTGCGGCGGAGGGAGAGGTTGTCCGCCCTCTCCTTGGGGGCTGTGTGTCCCCCCGAGGCAGCCCGCAAGCGGCGGGATTGCTGCCGGTGGGTCTGGGAGTTGATACCTGCCCATGAGAGAAAGAGAGGAAGCGCTGAAAGACAAAGCCAACCAGGGAAGGAGGTGTGGAATTTCCATGCTCTAAGTCCCTTGCCTTGCAAAACAATGGAATATGCTAGGAAATTGTTTAATTTATATCACGTAAGAGTCTTGTGGTGCCTCAGAGAGCATTCTGGCACGAGCTTTCATAGGCACGGCCTCCTTCATTGCATGCATAAGTGGAGCATATCCACAAAAGCTTACACAACAATACATTAGTTAATCCTAAGATTCCAAAAGGCTGTTTGTACAAAATCAAGAACATATCAAATTAAATATACAAGTAAAATACTTCTCACAGTACAGTGCCTACCACCATCAGGACCAATGATACATGTTACAAATTAAAAAAAAAAACTTATTCAAAGTTTTAGGACATCCCCCCTCCCCGCTTCCAAAACTGTAGTGATTCTTTTGATGGCTCAAATCCTTTTTGGTTGTATTTTTAATCGAAAATTAATTTTACTTTTTTTAAAAGCTCTTTGGTTTTTTTTCAGCAACAGACTAACACAGCTACCCCTCTATTAATGTTTATAATAAAATCTTCCTCTGAGGAGCAGTGTTTTGGTATGGCAAAGGCCTGGAAGGAAAGGAATAATGAGAAGTATCTAATCCAACTTTCTCCAATTTGGTGTCCTTCAGAAGTGTTGGGATATTATTTTAATGAACCCTGAGCATTGGTCATGCAAGCTGATGGGAGTTGTAGTCCAGAATACCTGCAGCGCAGCAGATTCAGGAAGACTGATCCAAACTGTTTTGCTGCATTAGGCAAGCATTCATTTCACCTCACCTCTCCTTCCATTCCCCATTGTACACAAAGGGTGAGAATTGTTTGCTCTTCATGGAGTTACTTATCGCAGATCTTTTTCTCCCTCTTTTTTATACAAGTGAATGGAGCAAAGGAAAGAAATGAGGGAAGGCGGGGTGGGGGGGGCTACATTAGTCTGAAGCCCATATAATTTGGTTACTCCATCAAAGAGCAGGCTCTGAACAACAGAGAACAACTTGCAGCCCTTGGAATTTCTGATGATCAGCTCCCAATATTCCCTACCAGTAGCTATGTTGGTCAGGGTTGACATAGGCCAAAACATTTGGAGAGCCCGACATCGCCCATCCCTGTTATATGGCATCGTGGTCTAAGCTGGCCAGGCTGTGGATACTTCTGTAACTGGGAGCAGCAGTTGCACCAGCATTTTAAAGATAAAGAAAACTTACTTGGCTATTGTGTTCAGCTGAGCTGAGGCTATTCTGGAAAACATTGCCTGCTGCACAATTGTGGCATATAATAGAATGTTTTCTTGTAACTTAACAGCTCTACAGCACTTTAAAGATTCCTTTCACTGAATCTGCCCAGGGAAACTGGATGAAAGATCCACAGGAAGAATGTTAACCCACCACCCCTTCAAGGTAAAATCTGTTTGCCAATCTGGGCTGCTTCTGTAGGTGGAAGAAGCAGTTTCACCTCAGGTGGCAGAACGTCTGAGGACAGCCCTGAAGATTGGCATTGTTTTTCTCCAACCACAGCCAGACTAGCTTCCCAGGAAGCCCTGAAAGAGCTATCCCTAATCTTTGCTCCTCAGCCTCCAGTGCAAAGATGCACTGTCTTGACACACAAGGAATTTCCATGTTTTGTTCTCTTAGGTGAATTGCTAAGGTAGGCCTGTCCTCCCATAGCTTGGACCTGGAACCTGGGAGATCTGTGTTCTAGTCCCCACTCAGCCACAGAACTCACTGGTTGAGCCTGGGCCAGTCATGGACTCTCAGCCCACCTACCTTACAGGGCTGTTGTTATGGGGATAAAATGGCCACCTTGGGTTCCTCACGAAAGGAAAGAAGGGGGGCTATAAATGCATAATAAAGGTAATCTCAAATATCCTGATGTTTAAAGTATTTTGTTCCCACCGTCTTTGTATTTGGCCATGCCCTGTTTTGCCTTCAGTCTCATCCATCTCTGGGATGTGCCCCCAAGACTGAACTTGGCCCTCGGGCAGAAAGAGTTCCAACACCCTTGCTAGGCAAGACAGCTAGGCCTAGCGCTGTGAGTACCAGGAAGAACTCCCCCCACCATCTCAAACGGCCACTCACCCGCTCCCTCATCCTCATCTTCTGCCATCCTCTCTACATCACATCGCCGGCGGATCTCAAAACGGCGGGTGCAGCCAGTCTTGGGCTTCCACACATCTTGCAGCACGAGGGGCCGTTCAGAATCGCCCACCGCCCGGAGGTACTGGGCCCTCCAGGAACCATCTGTGCTGTGATTGACGCTCCCGACGACATCGCACAGCACGTAGGCTTCCTGGGCATTGGGCTGCGCTATGCCATAGCGCTCCAGGGCCTCGCGCACCAGCTGCCGGGCAGTGGAGCGCACCGTGGCCAGCACACTCTTGTAATTCGTGCCTGTGGAGATGTCTCCTCCGTAGATTTTCAGGACCCCCGGCACTTCCCCCTGGGACGGGGGCTCAACCCGGCCTTCCGGCAGGGGGTCGATGAGATCGGCTAGTTTCTTCTCACTGGCCCAGCGGCCTCCGCCCCCACTCGTAGGCCCTCCCACTGCGCTTCGCTGGAAGAACGTTGAGAACCTCTTATGTCGGCTGGCCTTGTTCTTGGTGGCTGGGCGCATCTCCACGGGCTCACTGCCACGGCTGGCTGTGTCTGAGGACGTAGACCTGTGGAAAGCAGAAACCAGCTGGAAGGGGCAGCAGTGCTGCTATCAGAAGTGGAACAGGGCAGTGACTGGGCCGGTGGATTTGGACTTGTGAGATGAATAGTCCAAGGTTTACTTTGACCCAGAGTTCATTGGGCATCTTGGAACAAGTTATCACCTCTCAAGTTAACCCAATTTAAGGGGCAAAATGTTTTTGTATCCATAAAAGGAGGTAGGATGATAAACAGTGCTGAGCCAAAATGGAACTACCCTGAAACTTCACCATCCTGTGTGTATGCTGCAAAGTTGGGCAGAGGTATGTTAGTAATTTAAAGGCGCACCCTTTATTCTGATGACATTCCTTGTTTGAAGGACTGTCCAGTCCAGGTCCAGTTTCAGGATAAAGAACCAGAAGAAGCTGGGAGAGGAGAGCCTGCAGAGCCTTGAAGCTGCCCGTCCACAGTCAGCCCCTGGACAGCAGGCTGGGCAAAGCACAAACTCACCCAGCCTTCCATACTATGGTGAGATGTGTTGTACTTCTACTGAAATTGTAATCATAATTTATAAATTTCCATCTAAATATATACCTTGGGATATGTAAGAAAGGAAAAAAATCTTTTTTTGGATGGCAATTCACAAATGGCCACTCCAGCTTATTGAACATACTCAGGTTACAAGAAAGGTCTGATCCTGGGAAAGAAATATGCTGACCGGAAGGAGCTGATGTTCTATGACAGATGTGCTTGATTTTGGCCAGCTGGAACCCATACTTGATGCCAGGCCACCAGCTGGTGAGCTGAATCAAGATTGCTGGCCTGATCCTGACTCTGAAGGATTGTTGTAAGACAAACACTTACTTGACAGACCCCACGCTTGGCCACCTGCGTCCCAGCTTGGCAAAATGCTTTTTTGGAGAGTTGATCCAAAGGCCTACAGGAAAGTGAAGCTTCCCAAACCGGGGACTCCCGTCTTTCCGATCATCCGAGAACATGGTCACAAGGACCTAGAACTTTTGAAAGGCAAGCACAGAGAGAGGGGAGGGGGAAAGGCACAATATGAAAGGTCCATTCTCAATAGGGGCTCTCATCTTCCATCTCTCTGCAGAATTGTCTGCAGCAGTGATGGCGAACCTTTTAGAGACTGAGTGCCCAAACTGCAACCCAAAACCCACTTATTTATTGCAAAGTGCCAACACCACAATAAAACCTGAAAAATGAGGTTTTAGTTTAGGAAAAACAACTCACAGCCAGTACAGGCAAACACACACACACACACACACACACACACACACACACACAGAGGACTTTTTTGTCATAGAATGACCAGAACAGCATTCCAGCACCTTTTTTTGATGGATTTTTCCAATGGAGTGATTTTGAATCACCTGCGGGCTGCTTGTGTGTCCGTGCTGATTCTGAGGGCGCTGCTCGGCTTGGGATGCTGCTCGGCTTGGGATTGGTGTGTGTGGTTGTGTGCTGAGTGCTTACTGCCGGCGGTGACCATTATGTTTATGTGTGTGTAGAGTGACTGGCTACGTGCAAAAGATAAATAAGTTCTTTATTTCAAAAAAAGTTGGTGAATTGAAAATCTTTTTTAGTGTAAAAGTGTGACTCTAAGACATGAGTTCCGGCACCTTTTTTTTTTTTACAAAAAAGCACTGTGTATATATATATCCTTAGCAGCGCACTGACCGGCCATGCGAAAGCATAGAGGAGTTGTGGCTAATGAGTCGTGGCTCGTGACATCATCGCCTGGCGCTGCCACTCCTTTCCGAGCATGAGCATGGCACCTCTGTGTGCTGTTATCAGATGCTTGGCTGCTGGGGCAATGCTGGCGCGACTTGGCTCACATGCCGACAGAGAGGGCTCTGCGTGGCCACTGTGGCACACATGCCATTGGTTCACCACCGCTGCCTTAACCCTACCCTGGTGCACTCCCCTAATCCTAACATAGGGCTAAGGTTCCATTGAAAAGAGGGCGATTTTGAAGAAGACTTCCTTGAGTGGCTTTTTCTGTACAGCTCAACATTTCTGCCCATTCTAAACACATTCCAACCATCAAAATCATGCCAGGACACCTCGTTTTTCTAACCCTATCCTGGTGCACACCCCTAACCCTAATATAGGGTTAAACTTCCATTGGAAATAGGAGGATTTTTGAACAGCCTTCCTTGAGTAGCTTTTTCTGCACTGCTCATCATTTCTGCCCTGCTCGTCATTTCTGCCCATTCTAAACACATTCCAACCATCAAAATCATGCCAGAACACCTCATTTTTGTAACTCTAACCCAGTGATGGTGAACCTTTTAGAGACCAACTGCCTAAACTGCAACCCAAACCCCACTTATTTATCGCAAGGTGTCAACACCGCAATAAAACCTGAAAACTGAGGTTTTAGTTTAGAAAAAACATTCCACAGCCAGTCCAAGCAAACATATATATATATCCTTGGCAGCGCATTGACCAGTCATGCGAAAGCTCGGACAAATTGTGGGTAACGAGCCGCGGCTTGTGACGTCATCGCCTGGTGCTGCTACTCCTTTCCGAGCATGCGCATGGCACCTCTGTGCGCTGTTATCTGATGATCAGCAGCTCGGGTGATGCTGGGGAGACTTGGCTCACGTGCTGACAGACAGGGCTCTATGTGCCCGCTGCGGCACGCATGCCATAGGTTCACCACCCCTCGTCTACAGTGACTTTTGTAGCATTTATGCCAATGGTGGCCAATCTGGTGGTCTTCATATCTGCTACAGTATTAATTCCCATCACCCCAGCCAGCATGCCCCTCAAGGGGAGCCATCATTCAACAACTTGGAGGGCACTAGGTTTAGAACATGACTTTCTTGGTTTTAAAACCCTTATTTTCCAAGCACAAGCTTGTGTAGGACAGGCCAGTGGATGTCCATTTGTCACCTAGGATTCAGCATCCTCCTGACCATTTTTTAAAAGTTTATTTTCTTAACATAAACAGAGAACTAAAGGAAAAAAGTATATGTAAAATAAGGTAAAGTAGAATAAAGTTGCCAAGGGCTTTTAAACGAGGCAGAAGGACTTTGAAGTTGCCCATCTACAATGGGATCTGAACAACAGACTGAGTCAGCACAGAGCTTTCCTGCATCATGGGGAGATCTATTATATTTCTTTTAAAAAGAGCTTCCAATAGCATATCTGTTGTGTTCGCTAACCCAGTACATTGCCCTTTGGCAGCTGCAGCCCACTGGGATTCTGAGTTTGAACTTCTACACACACTTACATGGGAGTAAGTTTCAATGAGCTCAATTCAGCTTAATTTTGAGTAGGCATGGACAAGATTGTACTGTTAATGTTTCTCTTCCTGCAGAGCAGAACAGGGATTTTTCTATGGCCTGCTGGGATTGTGGAACGACCCCATCACTGCTGGAGGAAATCTCCCAGGTTTCTCCTCTTCTTGGACTTTGGCAAACAGACCATAAAGGATTTTCTTGTTCCAGCTGACATTTAACTTAAGGGCTGCTGCATTAAATTGGTGCTACTGTCTGTGCTTTGCATCCTCAACTGCCTTACTTAGGAAGGGGTAAGAATTTCAGTTTAGTTTTGATCATTATGAGAAATTCCTGAGTTGATGTCTGGTTTCACTTTGTCCCAAACTTCAGGTCTAAAACATTCAAATGTGAGTGAAACTGAAACTGACAGACTTGCCCACCCAAGCCCAAGGCTTTGAATGCTTTGTTCTTAGAAGTCTAGCTTTGAATCCCAGTGTATTCAGACATGTTAGCACTGAACTAGGATTGTTACCCTCTTGTTCTGACAGACTCTTTGGCTTTAAGATATGTGGTAGCAGGTTCATCATGGTTCTGTCCATGCAGATAATAGCCATGCATACTGAGTTTGGCTTGTGCAGAGAGGTGGGAATTTCATTTCAGTTTGACTTTTGATAAGAATTTATCAAAATCCACAACATTCATGTGCAGGAGAGAAAGGACTTGAGATTTTAAAAGTTTGAATGCAACAGGAAGCAAAAGAGAAAATTTCACCACCACCAGTATGATGACTATATTTGATTTTAATGTTAATATTTTTGATTGGCTGTTTTAATACAGCTGTGAGCCACTTTGAACACCACATGAGATACATATATAGTGAAATAAAACCTGTGTGTGTGTATGTGTAAAGCGCAAGACAGAAAGCCAGTGTGATGTCACAGTTCTAGTCCGTGCTGTACAATTAAGCTCACTTGATTTTAGGTCAGTCACTGATTTTCAGCCTTACCTACCTCATAAGGCTGCAGTGAAGATAAAATGGAGAGGGAAAGGATCATGTACATGCAGAGTAGAGAAGCTTTTGGGATCATGGGCATTTTGGTTGAGATTATTCTGGGCACCATCACAAAATGGCTGCCATGGGAGGTATGGCAAAAGAAAAGTAACCTGCTCAAAGGGCTGAGTACAAGGTAGAAGTGGGTCCTGAGCTTGAAGACACTCAACCCAGTTTTCAGTACCAATCGAAGCTATTCCACAGCAATCCCGGTTGCTGAAGAAAATGTGTTAATTTTATTTTTAAGTGGGAAGGGTAAGGCACCTTGCCAGGCCCCAAGTGTGCTTGTGCCCACATTGCTTTCTCCTGATGCATATTAAATTAATATCCTGCCTTTATTCCAAGGAGCTTAACATGTGCTACAACTGTCCATATGGCACAGACCACTCTCAGTACCCTGTGCTCTTGAGTCCTGACTCTCAGCTCCCAGTGTTCCTATACATCTATTTTACTTCAGATTCTGTCCTTTCCAAAACTTTCCAGCCCAAACTAATTTCCCAGACAACCAGGACAAAACAGACAATCTTGCTGACTGTCCTTCATGAACCCCAAAGAGTCTAACTTCCTGGAGGAATTCAAGGCCAGAGCAGAGAGGCAGTGACTGCAAGCCCCGTGCTTCCACTCTGCAACCATGAGGAGTGAGTCAGAGGCTCGGAGTCAAACCATTACGTCAACAGGAAAAGACGCGATAAGGAATTCAAGGGTCAGGATAGCTGGAGCCTCACCTCACAAGGCTACCTTCTCAGCAGATCGGCTTTTAGTAGATGGGGCACAATATGAAAGAAACTAGGAATTGAAAACTTTACATTCCTCTCCCCTCCCCTCCCCATACTACTATCATAACTACTTCATCCCTCTTTAAAATACCAGGCCCCCATTCTTTAATTCATCAGATTAGTGGATGTTTGATTCCTTTCCATCTGTTTATAAATCACAGTAGACCTCTGGCAGAGAACCTCAGACTTCTGGCTGCCGACTTCCTTGTTGTGACCTAGGTTGTCCCCAAATATTTGGGTGGCTAAGGGAAAGACTCCAAATGGTGCTCTAGCACACTCACACTCCTCTGGTGTCAGAATAGAGCAAATAATCTACAACACACTGCTGTATAATGGCACCCCCCTCCCCACATCTGCCATTCAAAGTAGAATGGTCACTCTGTCTAACAGTGGAGCTGGAGCTGATCATAAGCCTACATGGACCTGAAGCATTTTTGGCTCCCATTCCTTCCATATTTGGGGCTTCCAGGTCATTACTAGAATAGGCCTTTTCTGGGGAGGCAGTAAGGAAAGGTGAAGGTAGGATGGTGCAAACACTTCATTCTTGGGAATGCACTCTAACAAATAGGTCAGTGCAAGGAGAGGCCAGGAGCCATAATTCCCAGCAGCCCTAATGCCCAGGTTTTCTAAGAGAAAGCTGCAGGTAAATGAGAAGGCAGGATCCTTGGGTTCTTTTTCTGTAGGACAGAGCAGAACAGAAGGGTCCAAACTTCCCCTGCCCTTGGCTGCCACTGTTTTGCCACCTGTTCAGTGGCCTTCCATGGCTTTGATTTTTGCAGACCATCTCTGGGTTTTCCCCGCATATACATAGGCACAGGGTTAGCATGATTACCTGTTCCAGAGGGTGTCCTCGAAGTGCTGCGCTCTCCGTCGTCACCCACTCTCACGCATCCTCCAGGCCAGGCTCCATCTTCTGCCTCGGGAGATGGTGGCCGACGCTTTGCGACAGCGTTCCTGTGTGTGCTGTGACTTAAGTCCAGCGATGACTGCGCACGGATTTCCCGTGCCTCTGGTCATTCACATACAGGAGGTGGGGCAGGAAAGGGAGATGGAGGGGCAGGAAACTGGCTGGGAAGCTGGGCCTCTCCCAAGAACTACTGGGGAGGGCAGGGGAGCAGGGA